TATTAGTCAACGATTTGCACTAGTACTTCAAAATTCTCATTTTCCTCCAAAGATGACGAGGATGTCTACCCAGTTTGAGATAAATCATTGCGTTTGATGTTGATTTTTCGAACTCTTTAAAATGTATTTACAAAAGTCTAGATGTAGTTGTTCGTTATCGAGCGCTTTGTGGGAACCTAACCCACTCGCAAGCATAGTTTGTTATGATGCCGACATATAGTGACTACAGGGTACAAAACTTAGCAGCTAGATTTACACGATCTTTTAAAAGAAAATGATTAAATCATTCCTACCTTGTGACGCGAAATGTTTCTGCGCTACACTTAAGAACCCATTATTATGTTTTAACCCCAAATAAAGAAAATAAATTACAGAATCAAGTACGACACCATCATATTGGCATGTTTTATTTCCTGTAATACAACCGATTTTCTGAAAACTCCATTTTTTGTTTTCTCAACCTCAGACCACCTCTCAGTATATGATAACGATTCGTCTAACACGTGTTGTAGGCCGTGAACATCTCCAGGGAAAAGCACCATGTCCTCGACGTTTACTAGTAAAAATAACTCTTGTAGTTCTAAAGGTTGGAGACCAATGCTGAGGAATTTCACATCACAGTCGTATACAAACATACTAAATAGAATCGGGATGACGATTCACGCTCGTTAAACCACATTAAGGCATTGGATACAACTTTTGGACAATAACCGACCTCAAGTTACATCTTTGTTGTACATCTTGTGTAAAATAAGAAAAAAATCTGTTTGAACTCTATAAAGTACTCGTTAAAAAGCAAAAAACTGCTTGAAATATAAAATGCTCGTTAAGAATGCAATGATTTTATCTCGTTTCAGCTTCCTAAGTGTTGACTCTATCTCTTCCTCTAAAAAAAGAATTACTAAGATAACCTGCTAATTTCTCTGTCACAATGAATTTCAAATAAAACCTGGTAAATCTCGTCACAACTAATCCTATGGCATTTTAGCCAGTCCTTTCATTCTCTACATTCTTTACGAGGTAATTCTCACCTGGAGAGACAATCCTAAGAGACACCCTCTCCCCTGGAGAGACATTCTCCAGGTGATACCTTCTCCCCCCGGAGAGACATTCCTAGGCGACACCCTCACCCCTGGAAAGATATTCCTAGGTGATACCTTCTCCCATGGAGAGACATCTCTAGGTGATACCTTCTCCCATGGAGAGACATCCTAGGTGATACCTTCTCCCCTGGAGACATTCTGCCATGGAGAGACATTCTCAAAGTGATACCTTCTCCCATGGAGAGACATTCCCTAGGTGATACCTTCTCCCCTGGAGAGACATTCTGTAGGAGATACCTTCTCCACTGGCGAGACATTCTATACTCTAGGTGATACCTTCTCCCCTGGAGAGACATTCTCTAGGTGATACCTTCTCCCCTGGAGAGACATTCTCTAGAAGATACCTTCTCCTCCTGGAGAGACATTCTCTAGAAGATACCTTCTCCCCTGGTGAGACATTCTCTAGGTGATACCTTCTCCCCCTGGAGAGACATCTCTAGGTGATACCTTCTCCCCTGGAGAGACATTCTCTAGGTGATACCTTCTCCCCTGGAGAGACATTCTGTAGGAGATACCTTCTCCCCTGGAGAGACATTCTCTAGGTGATACCTTCTCCCCTGGAGAGACATTCTGTAGGAGATAACTTCTCCCTTGGGGAGACATTCTCTAAGTGATACCTTCTCCCCTGGCGAGACATTCTCTAGGTGATACCTTCTCCCCCTGGAGAGACATCTCTAGGTGATACCTTCTCCACTGGAGAGACATTCTGTAGGAGATACCTTCTCCCCTGGAGAGACATTCTGTAGGAGATACCTTCTCCCCTGGAGAGACATTCTCTAGGTGATATCTTCTCTCCTGGAGAGACATTCTCTAGGTGATATCTTCTCTCCTGGCGAGACATTCTCTAGAAGATACCTTCCTCGTTGGAGAGACATTCCTAGGAGATTCATCTCACATGGAGTTTTGCAAGGTGGACATCGAGTTATGTGACAAACGTTTGATAAAAGGATTATTGGGAAATGTCTACATTTGTATGGGCCAATATCGACAAGTTTAAACTCACCCTCTGTTTTCTGTAGGCCTAGTTCAACGTACAATATCCTGTAAAGGAAACGTAATTATGTTCATGGATGAAAGAGAGAAAGTAAAAAGCTTTTGTGAACACCTGCCTTTAATTCGTTCTGTTTTAATTCACCACAAATACCATTTCAGTATGCATGAGAACATCAGAAAAACATTTTGTCATATCATTGAAGATAAGCTGTTGGTTTTTGTAGGTATGTGATATTGTTACAACCTGTCGTAGCGTCGACAGTTGATCAAGCCTTGCTATTTGTAATTCATGTCACTGTCATTGTTAAATATGCACATTGCAAAATATTCAATTGCCTATTGCAAATGAATTGACAAAATGACATCTCGCTGCACAGAGAATAAATCAATATAAATATATGATAAACATTGATTGTCTTAAAATTTTTAAAAACATGTCTTATAGACATTATTAGAACAAGTGAAAGTTCAGCCAATTTTAGTGGAAGAATTCTACTTGGGCATCATTGACAACGCCAACGACAACAACTACTTCCAATACCAAATGATTAATTGATGCTTTTATTAATTTTGGTAAAACATACATGTGCACGTTATTAAACATGTAATATCTAGATGTCTTTACGGTGTCTTTTTATATTCAAACTATATCTTTATAAAAGGAACGTAAACAATCATCGATAATTTAATACAATAAAAGTAGTGACAAACCCTATACATGGACGCATGCCTACCCGCCGAGATTATTAAGAGTTGGTAACGGAAGATAATGCAAACGCAAGTGCAAATGTTAAATGGTGTCTCTTGTTTGTTGTAGTTCCAGACTCCGGCCTACCTCCTGGTGCAAGCTCTTGTTAATCCTGATAGTGGTATCACTTATCCCTACATACATAGTCATCTTCAAAGAACCAGGTAAATATTTATATCTAACAGGAGGTGTAAAATAATTTTGTAACAATTTTCGGCCTTGAATTTGTGATAAATATACAAATTAGGCTTTGTACAAAAAAGACAAACAATATTGAATAAATAGCTATCCATGTTATATATGTAAGGGGGTCAACGTTTGTTTTCATGACGATACCGTATGCGTTGTCCACCTCAAACTCAACTCATATCGACTTTTACCTCCTAGTGAGTCCGCAAATAAAAGGTCATATTTTTTGATAGTTTAAGAAATAGACTATTTAACGCGATCTAACACCACTAATCGGTAAGTATTGCTGCAATTAAGACGATATCAATAAAGCTCAAAGACAGATATTTCTTATAGGCAATAGACATATGTGACATTCCCACACACACACATGGTCTTTTAATTGAGCCGGTTTGAGGAGTACTAGTAGCATGTGTTGGCATAACGACCTTTACTGTTGTAGTGCCGGAGTTTGGTGTTGGTCTAATTGGAGTATATGTCGGTTGCCTTCCGTCAATGTCTGGACAAACTATGATTGGGAGTAGTTCTGGGATTGTCTCGGTTCCCCCTGTATAACTACCGGCTTCGTGTTTTGAATATACGACCTTGGAGCGCTGTCCTTGTATAACAGAGGGAACTTATAATTTTTTGTCGTTATCCTAGCGGTATCTCTACTATGACTAGTAAGTGTCTTAGTACACTTGTTTTTCCTGGCGTGCTGTGAGCTGTTCATGCGCCTTTTTATGAATTTCCGGAAGAAATGTTTAAGACTTTGCAGTATTTTTAGATCGAAAAGCTTAACTTTCAAATACCTGAGTTGGTGAAAAACTCATCCCTGATAATGGAGTGTTTTTGTAACCAAACAGTACTGTATCAGGATCAATGTCCTTTTCCTGGTTCTTCCTCGGAATGTTCTCGACAGTTTCCACCATCCTCTCACTCGATCCATTTGACTGAGGATACGTTGAAGTGAAAGTTTAGTATCCCATTCCTATGAAATGCCTCAAGTTCAAGGGCCTGTTGTCGGACATTACCCATTCTGATATTTCATGTCTAATAACGAGAATTTTTGGCTGGAGTGTCACTTTCCGAGCTGTTTACTTTTCTAGGGCACATATCGTCAGCTTTTGTTTAAGTACTTGAATATATTCATACCAAGATTTCGCCACGACCTCTCCAGTATTGCGCATGGAACCAGCGGTTCTTTCTGTTGTCAATTCCAGAAACGGTTGCACGTGAAATATCTTTAACACGTAGTTCTTAATATAAGTCGACATTTGTGGCTAGCATATTGTACAGCGTGTAAGGAATTTACATTTCTTTATGCCAAAATATGAAATAAAATTTTCTACATCTTTAATCACCGCAAAACAACAGGACTTCTGCTTCATTATGTTGTCTCTGTGACACCAGTGCTGTCTTACTTGGGTCGACGCCTCTTGTTTGTATGTTGGCTGACCATAATCATTAGGGTTTGAAGTTTTTCAACCTCGTTAGTTTCAAGTTCTAGCCGTTCACGTTTGTATTTAAAGACAACCTTGTCCATTGGAAGTAGCAGAGGCTTGAGGTTGGGGTTTGCGTTTTTGATGTTGTTATTTCTTCGTGATGGCATTTACAAAACAGTGTATGAAATTTCCTATACCTGATTTGACCTAGCTGCAGACACTAGTGCGGGTTAAAGCATTTCTTTTAAACGCACCAAACATTATTACATTGTATGTCTGTTGAAGTGATGAAGATCTCGATTCCTTCGTTTCCGATTATGTGTGATAAAATGGCGTCCTTCTGTTTGTCGTCTTGCTAATCAGCTCCTGATGCTGCGTGATAGGGTCCATGTCGTTGTTTCCAAAGTGACCAGTTTTCTGATGGGATTCTATGAAATATTATGATTTCACCGTTTTGTAGGCTAGTGACTAAAACTTCTAAAACCATGCAATTATATTAACATGAACAACCGTATGGATTTCCTTTAAACGTGATTTGTTAATATGACAGCGACTGAGATTACATCAATGAAGGACAAGAATATGAAATTTCTATCCGATACAAAGGGAGGTAATTTTCTGCAGTGCCCTTACGTAATTGAGTTTAGTTATAGTATAGCGAATAGACACATGAAACAATGATAGATAGTGACGTAATGTGGTCTTTAGTTTGAGAGAACAAAAGAAAACTCAATAAAGAAACAGAACTTAAACACATACAGACTACTTCTGTCCGTATACCAAATTATATCAGGTTTTGTTTGACTATGAATTAACACTATGTTTTGTGCGGGATACATTTACATAATATTGATGGCCGATGGATGGCTGTTGTTGTTTGTGGCTTTGATCTGGATTCTGTTCTATTTTTAACTCCCGGTCCGTGAGTGGCAAAAATATCCAATGGCAGATAACCTTGCGGTGCTTATGAGTGTAAAGAACGACAATTCTGGTAGAGAATTCTTGCATTGACTTATCTTATCAAAAATCTTTATAGTGAAATCACTTAAAAGGATTTAATTTATTTCATAACACATGATTAAAGAACAATAATTCCAAAAGTCATGACTGATATCATATCTATATCTCATGCTTTATTTGTATATATTTCAGGGCAAATACCCGACAGCCGACGTATCGAAATTATTGCACAACAAACAAAGAATGACTCCACAGGTAAGCAATGATTACCAGCGCGAAACGGCGTGTAATAAAGTGTCCATATTTATTACGTTTCAACAGCATGTTGGATAATAAGTTATTTATCTTTTTTAGAAAACAAAGTTATCAATTGGTACACACACTCCCCGATCCCTCCATTTAAAACTAAAATTGAGATGTTTATAACACAACACGGACTTAAATCAACATCTCACAAGTAAATTAGCATCTTTAATTCAAATTAAGAGTTTGATACAGTAGAGCCAATGAATGAATTAGATTACATCATACAGATGTTTCGTCCCCCAAGGACTTGTCAGTTATGCTACTACGTCCGTGTTAAAACTAATTACTAGCATTTTCATTTCCATATCACAGATATAATTACTGCTTTATTGAGAGTTAAATGACATCGCAAATGCCTTGTATCTCAAACGACAGTTACTGATAGCTGCAATATGAAATAGTTATTAACACATCTGTCAGGGTATTTCGTCGTAAAAAATCAAGAAAATACCAACATGTCAACATAATCATAATCCAGACCCAAAGTCAATAATACAAAGGCAAAATATGAGCAAAAGAAAGATTTTCACGAAGACCCTTGAAAATGAGAGAATAAAACCAGGTGGAAACATTTTAATGAGATCACCATGGCAACCAAAATACTTAATTTTCTTCAACCTGCATCTTTTGAAAACCTGTGCTATGAGTTTATCCGTCAAGCAGTGGCTTCTTGGCCGTTTTCGCGAAAGCCGGTTAATTTGGCCCACTAGAGAGAATCACCTATATTCGTGTATACATTTACAACTTTGGCGTTTAAATACAATTATTACCAGTATATCAACATTTACATTCGGTAAGCACATACGATCATGATGGCCCTGAAACTGTTCAGCGTCTTATTCTTTATTTAATTAGGACGTATAGTGGAAATTGCCAAACAACATCAGGACGATTCCACACGTAAGTGACAGCTGTAGAGAATTTAGACCCTTATGTTGTATATTTAATTCTTCTTACAAATATCTATGCATTCTATTATATATTACTCAACTCAAGATTGAGCAAATCTATAAACTTGCTTTTGGTTTTTTGGTAATAGTAGACGACGAAAAACGTTGCTGTAGTGACATATCGTATCAACAAACATACTAGAATTAAAGAAACAATAGATAAAACAAAAACAAAAACAGTAAATTAATTTAGAACCCGCGAAAAACTTCTATCTGTCACTACTCCAAATGTAACTGTTTCTGATTACGGGCATCTACAGATATATTACCTCGGTTTAATCATGATCGCCCAACTTCCTTATTGTTAGGAAATTTTCGCATGGATTGCTATTCAGTTAATGTGTCCTTACTCTCATTTTAAATATATATTTATCTTGTTGTTGTGACTCTTCTTCTTTTCTCCTCCTATGAATAGTAATTAGTTTATCGCTTTACCAATGTAGTCACAAAACATCGATCTTTGATTTTATTTCAACGTTTAAAATCAAGCAAATATAGCTCCATAACTTCAGGTTGTCATAATTTTAGCTGTGCTCTATGATTTTCTTTTTTTTTAATTACTAAGAAAATATCACTCTGTAGCTACAGTTTGTGATACTGATGGCTATGATCTGTGATTTTAACAAAATATCACTCTGTAGCTATAGATTGACAAAATATCACTCTGTAGCTATAGATTGTGATACTGATGGCTATGATCTGTGATTTTAACAAAATATCACTCTGTAGCTATAGATTGACAAAATATCACTCTGTAGCTATAGATTGACAAAATATCACTCTGTAGCTATAGATTGATTTTAACAAAATATCACTCTGTAGCTATAGATTGACAAAATATCACTCTGTAGCTATAAATTGACAAAATATCACTCTGTAGCTATAAATTGACAAAATATCACTCTGTAGCTGTAGCTATAGATTGACAAAATATCACTCTGTAGCTATAGATTGACAAAATATACTTCTGTAGCTATAGATTGACAAAATATACTTCTGTAGCTATAGATTGACAAAATATACTTCTGTAGCTATAGATTGACAAAATATCACTCTGTAGCTATAGATTGACAAAATATCACTCTGTAGCTATAGATTGACAAAATATCACTCTGTAGCTATAGATTGGCAAAATATCACTCTGTAGCTATAGATTGACAAAATATCACTCTGTAGCTATAGATTGACAAAATATACTTCTGTATATAGATTGACAAAATATCACTCTGTAGCTATAGATTCAAAATATACTCTGTAGCTATAGATTGACAAAATATACTCTGTAGCTATAGATTGACAAAATAAAATATGACAAAATATACTTCTGTAGCTATAGATTGACAAAATATCACTCTGTAGCTATAGATTGACAAAATATCACTCTGTAGCTATAGATTGACAAAATATACTTCTGTAGCTATAGATTGACAAAATATACTTCTGTAGCTATAGATTGACAAAATATACTTCTGTAGCTATAGATTGACAAAATATCACTCTGTAGCTATAGATTGACAAAATATACTTCTGTAGCTATAGATTGACAAAACATACTTCTGTAGCTATAGATGTGCTATAGATTGACAAAATATCACTCTGTAGCTATAGATTGACAAAATATCTCTCTGTAGCTATAGATTGACAAAATATCACTCTGTAGCTATAGATTGACAAAATATCACTCTGTAGCTATAGATTGACAAAATATCACTCTGTAGCTATAGATTGACAAAATATCGCTCTGTAGCTATAGATTGACAAAATATCACTCTGTAGCTATAGATTGACAAAATATCACTCTGTAGCTATAGATTGACAAAATATCACTCTGTAGCTATAGATTGACAAAATATCACTCTGTAGCTATAGATTGACAAAATATCACTCTGTAGCTATAGATTGACAAAATATACTTCTGTAGCTATAGATTGACAAAATATCACTCTGTAGCTATAGATTGACAAAATATCACTCTGTAGCTATAGATTGACAAAATATCTGTACGATTGATTGACAAAATATACCTCTGTAGCTATAGATTGACAAAATATACTTCTGTAGCTATAGATTGACAAAATATCACTCTGTAGCTATAGATTGACTACTTACTTGTTTGTATAGAATACTTTATATTAGTATATATCGGTATTATTCAGAACGACGTGGTCTTTATTGTAACTGACCGACAGATGTCTAGATAACGAGACTAATAATCGAAATCTTAAAAACACTAAAGTTTATATAAAAAGGACTTGGTCTGATTCAATAATATTTATCTTATCATCCTTAGACAGGAATCAAAGTAAGTCTGTCAAAATTACAAATAATGTGGGGTTCTGTTTTTGGTGTCCATACAGGTATAAATTGTCTTTCCATTTCTATCTGCTCCTCTATACACTGTTCTTTTCATCAATGTACATTTTCTGTATATCAGTGTTCCTTTCTTTATGTAGCTGTTCACTTTCCGATGTTTACACGATTATATGTTGTGATTGTGAGGTCAGTATTAGAAGATGATGGAAATGTTAGTATGAGCTTACAAAGTGGTTAATGAAATAGACTTGTTGCTAGGTTACTTATTGACCGAATAAGTGTTATGGGACAATTTTAAATTTCCTGTGTTAAAGGGTGGGGATGATAGGAAAGGATGACTACTGGGAGAGGTAGGAAAGATGGATCTATTTCGGATCTCTCTCACTACTTACATAATAAAATACTTGAAGTAGTATTTTGTTACCGATGATCTAATTAGCATAGATTAACCCATATGCAAATAACCTTTGAAATCTAATCTTGAACGAAAACTGCATTTTACAATTGGCCAACTTCGTTAAAGTACTGTTGTTGTAACGGTCATGCAGACAATTATGAAATGAAATTTCCTTAATTTGACCATTCTATTGTTACAGTCTATGTAGACAAAAGACAGGCAGACAAGATATACCAGACTGTCTCAGTGCTGTGTTTTATCCTCACCATGGAGAGAAATCTGTACAGCAAGGCCGCCGTTGTGAACGCGACTTGGGCCAGACGCTGTAACAAAGTGCTGTACGTCCTCTGCACTGACCAGAACAATTCCGACATCTTGTCCACGTGTTCTATAACAGAAAGCAAAGAACATTTGACAGGGAAAGTACGATATTCTATGAATCATTTGTATAAATACTACTTAAACAAATATGATTGGTTTTTAAAAGCAGACGATGACACCTATGTAGTGATGGAAAACCTGCGATATTTATTATCACATTACCCCACAGACAAGGCCGGGTATCTAGGATACCATTTTAAATTATTCGTTACCCAAGGTTATATGAGTGGAGGCGCTGGCTATGTGATCAACAAACAGGCTCTCAAACAAGTCGTGGAACGAGGTTTCAAATTTAATCATTGCCGCGAAGATGGCGGGGACGAGGATGTAGAGATAGGTAAATGCCTCCAGGCCTCAAACGTAACAGTGTTCAGTTCCTTAGACAAATTCCAAAGAGAGACATTCCATACTGACTCTCCCTGGGAGCACACACTAGGCTTGCAGCCCGAATACCTTGACAGATATTCCAGAAACACCGTCCACGGGGTGAGTACAGCATACAGTCTTATTCAAGAAGACAGGGAGTTGTTCCCTCTGACGCCCACCGCTTTTTCTAACGTCAATAATTCAATTTGAGTAACTCATTGGTCAGCAGAAACTGTTGCAACTGAAAACCAAAATCTGTAAAGGCAAAAGAAACACTCATTATATATATATATCAAACCAACATGTCTCAACAAAGCCATGCTTGCAAACAATGTCCCAATTTCTGTTTAAATTCAAAATGTTCACTGATCACTGTTTATATCTAACCAGCATTTTAAAAAAACCTGGATGGAAAGGTTTCATTGATGTTATGAAAAGGTTAAAGATCCGACGGCAAGATACTAAATTTATAGTAACCATTTATGACATTCCTACAATGTAAAATTACCAACCCTATATCTCGTTCGATCAACTCATCCAAAATTTAAGGACCATATCTATGTAGATGTTTATGTTTCTTTGTTCATTTCACTAGAAATTTGGGTTGTCATGGTATTATGGTAACAAGGTCACTAGGTCATTAGCTGTCTCAGATGTTAAGTCTAGGTTTTTTTTCTGAAAAACTTTCATTGACCAGGAAAAGCTTGTCACAGTATAACCACAACTGTTATGTAGCTCTGATGACAATTATTAATGGCTATAGTGACACAAAAAGGTCATGGAAACGACACCAGAAAGTGAATATTTCCGTAGCATAGCGAATCCTTGAGAGAGTGACCACAATTAAGAAAAGGCACTTAATGGTCATGATGGGGTCTGTTGTAAGTAAAACAGTTTAGGAAATGGATTTTACAACCCTGCAAATTTCAAAACACAACATTAGACGATTAGGCCTCAATCTAATGATAGCTAGTCAGTGACCAGTCTAAAGTCAGAACGGTCTGACCAATCGTTTGATTTGAAATTAAGGGATAGCTCCAACAGCGAATGACAATCAGTGGTCAGAGTCATCACCAGTCAACACTGTAGGTATTTTATGGCGGGTCTCCTTCCTGGTGGCCAAACAATGAACAACAAATGGGAGGTACGTTATACGTCAGCCAAAGAAATAGGGACAAGCTGTTTTATCCTAAGACACAATCAGCACAGCATAGCTTTCTGATAAAAAAAAACACCCACCAGGGGTAGGGAATGTAGAGCAACCAATATTGGATCCTCACCTGAAGTCGCGTCCAACGCTCTACTGATTGAGCTATCAAAAATGAAAGTATCTTCTTGGCAAATAGGGTTAATGTATTAGACGGGTTATACTATTCCCTTAATCTCAACTTTACAGGGATGCAAATAGTATCTTTCGGTTAAAGTAATGATAGTTGCCAATTTTTCTCACGTCGGAAGTTTCCGATTTAAGTCATCATTTCTAAAATGTGAAGGAGTCATTCTCTCCGTTATATACGTCATCTGATCATTGTTATCAGTGATATTTCAGTCGGTAGATTATCGGTCTACGATGCAGACTCGGGTGAAGACCTGAGGTATGTAGGTCAGTAATACCTATCCGTATTGGTCAGTGATTCTCTGGATAATGAAAAATTGACCTTGTTTATGCAGTTGTTGTGCCCTTTGGCAAGATACTTGACACCAAATTGCTCTTGATGAAATGTCGCGGGCCTCCCACATGATGTTCAGTCAAGTTGCCACCATTTTCTCAAAGGAGACCACGTCTCCAAATAACCATTACTTCTCGATTTACCTTACAGATAGTTCGTGCAATGTTGTAACGCTGCTGTCTTTTTCTGTTGTCAGGGTGTCGACTGTTGCAGCCAGTTCCCAGTGACATATCATCATCTTAATGAGGCAAATATGTTATTTTTAGAACATATGCTTTATAGAACGCACGTCTGGGGCAGACACGGAAGAACAGACGTAACGGATTTTTTCAAACCTCAAATTGTCACTCCTCCCGACACAAAACGAAAGGACGGACAGACCGAAGTAAAGAATTAATTTCGGCCTAGTCTTAGAAACAATACCAGACAGAGGAAATGATGGTACTCAGTACAGTGGACTTGTACACTGTAGTCTCGTCAAAAATATACTGCAAAGACGAAACATCACAGCAAAAACAGTGGATTTGTACAAAACACTGTAGTCTCGTCAAAAGTATACTGCAAAGACGAAACATCACAGCAAAAAGGGTGGATTTGTACAAAACACTGTAGTCTCGTCAAAAACATACCGCAAAGACGAAACATCACAGCAAAAAGGGTGGATTTGTACAAAACACTGTAGTCTCGTCAAAAATATACTGCAAAGACGAAACATCACAGCAAAAAGGGTGGATTTGTACAAAACACTGTAGTCTCGTCAAAAACATACCGCAAAGACGAAACATCACAGCAAAAAGGGTGGATTTGTACAAAACACTGTAGTCTCGTCAAAAATATACTGCAAAGACGAAACATCATAGCAAAAACAGTGGATTTGTACAAAACACTGTAGTCTCGTCAAAAATATACTGCAAAGACGAAACATCACACCGAAAACAGTGGACTTGTACAAAACACTGTAGTCTCGTCAAAAATTACTGCAAAGACAAAGACTTCAATCCAAAAACTAGCGGACATGTTTAAACAACGTGAAAATTTCACGTAAACAAGATATTATTTTGAAATAATATCACAAAAGAACAAACGTTTTGTTATGTTAACAGTGCTGAATGATACTAATGGCGATATTATAGAAGAAGCAGGCCCACGTTTCAAGAATCTTCCTTAACTTAAGGACATCTTAACTACCATAGAAAAGCATGACGCAATTAAGAAAAAATTCAGATTTAAGAAAACTTCCTTAACCTATATAATGCTTTCCTATGGGCGATTATCAGTTACAGACATTTGCTTGAGTTTAGAAAGATTGGTGAATCTGGAACCAGAACCGACACCGAGGACAGGACTATTTACTAACCAGTGTTCAGTGAAGACATAATACCAGAAATCAATTAAGTTTTTGTGCCAAATTATATATTTATTGATGTAAGTATTGTGTATATGATATGTATACCAGATCTAGTGCTAGTAAATACAGACTCATCATTTGTGATCTTTTTACAGAACTCTTGACATCTGTTATAAAATTGTATTCCATTTTCTTTTCTTTCTTCCCGATTATTTTCAATATATATAATACATATGCAAACAACTACATCAACCATCCTCACATTCACGCATCATCATCATCATCATCATCATCATCATCATCATCATCATCATCATCATCATCATCATCATCATCATCATCATCATCATCATCATCATCATCATCATCATCATCATCATCATCATCATCATCATCATCATCATCATCATCATCATCATCATCATCACCATCATCATCATCATCATCATCATCATCATCATCAGCAGCAGCAGCAGCATCAGCAGCAGCAGCAGCAACAGCAGGATCCTCATCATCATCATCAATTTACAGCAAGAAAGGTATATGCTTGGTATCTGTGTGAAACTGTCGTAGAACAGATATCAATTTAGTATTGCAATATAGTGCTTCTTCTTTGCTATATAAAATGTTGCAAAGTATGTGTGTTAGTAGATACTTTAGTCGGTAGTTTAACTACCATGGTAGTGTATCATCAACTTGATAGTGTACATATCTTCATACATCAGAGACAGGATCACGGGCAGCTATGTCATTAGTCCGTCAAAATCTCGTCATTCCAAGACTTGACGAGATTTGCCGAGATGTTGAAATTTTGTTTGATACTAAAGAATATCTAAAGCGTGGTTTATAATACTTTTGTATTGTGTATCTTATTTATTTTGTTTTAAAAAATCAATAACAAGCGAACATAATATTCTTAAGAATATGCACGTAAAAAAAGAATTAAATGTATATAAAATGTATATGTGAAATTATATAATTTATATAAATTAATGGTAGTTCTTTTCGGCGTTCATAACAGTATGCTATTTTAACCAAGATTGATTGACAAATACAGACAAGAGGAGTGCAGAAAGTAAGACACACCATCACCAAGTTAGACACATCTTCACCAAATTAAATACACCTTCACCAAATTAGACACACCTCCAAACCTCCACAAAATTGAACACATCTTCACCAAAATTGACACACCTTCACTAAGTTAGACACATCTTCACCACATTAGACACACCCTCACCAATTTAGACACACCTTCACCAAGTTATAGACACCATCACCAAGTAAGACACACCATCACCAAGTTAGAAACACCTTCACCAAGTTAGACACACCTTCACCAAGTTAGACACACCCTCACCAAGTTAGACACATTTTCATCAAGTTAGAGACACCTTCACCAAGTTAGACATACCCTCACCAAGTTAGACACACCTTCACCAAGTTAGAGACACCCTCACCAAGTTAATCACACCGTCACCAAGTTAGACACACCTTCACCAAGTCAGACACACATTCACCAAGTCAGACACACATTTGCTAAGTAAGACACACCTTCACCAAGCTAGACACACCGTCACCAAGTTAGATACACCTTTACCAAGTAAGACACATCTTCACCAAGTTAGACACATCTTCACCAAGTAAGACACACCTTCACCAATTTAGACACACCTTCACCAAGTTATAGACACCATCACCAAGTAAGACACACCATCACCAAGTTAGAAACACCTTCACCAAGTTAGACACACCTTCACCAAGTTAGACACACCCTCACCAAGTTAGACACATTTTCATCAAGTTAGAGACACCTTCACCAAGTTAGACACACCCTCACCAAGTTAGACACACCTTCACCAAGTTAGAGACACCCTCACCAAGTTAGACACATCTTCACCAAATTAGACACACCTTCACCAAGCTAGACACAAAGTCACCAAGTTAGATACACCTTTACCAAGTTAGAAACACCTTCACCAAGTTAGACACACCTTTACCAAGTTAAACACACCTTCACCAACTTAGACACACATTTACCAAGTAAGACACACCTTCACCAAGTTAATCACACCGTCACCAAGTTAGACACACCTTCACCAACTTAGACACACATTTACCAAGTAAGACACACCTTCACCAAGTTAATCACACCGTCACCAAGTTAGACACACCTTCACCAACTTAGACACACATTTACCAAGTAAGACACACCTTCACCAAGTTAATCACACCGTCACCAAGTTAGACACACCTTCACCAACTTAGACACACATTTACCAAGTAAGACACACCTTCACCAAGTTAATCACACCGTCACCAAGTTAGACACACCTTCACCAACATAGACACACATTTACCAAGTAAGACACACCTTCACCAAGTTAATCACACCGTCACCAAGTTAGACACACCTTCACCAACTTAGACACACATTTACCAAGTAAGACACACCTTCACCAAGTTAATCACACCGTCACCAAGTTAGACACACCTTCACCAAGTTAATCACACCGTCACCAAGTTAGACACACCTTCACCAAGTTAGACACACCTTCACCAAGTCAGACACACATTCACCAAGTCAGACACACATTTGCCAAGTAAGACACACCTTCACCAAGCTAGACACACCGTCACCAAGTTAGATACACCTTTACCAAGTAAGACACATCTTCACCAAGTTAGACACATCTTCACCAAGTAAGACACACCTTCACCAAGTTAGTCACACCTTCACCAAGTTAGACACACCTTCGCCTCTGTTCTGTTTACTATCATTCCATTGACAGTACGATGTGGCCTGGGTTACGTTAATAATTGACCCGGCTAGCCGTGGAAAATGAAACCTAACTGAAAGATATTTTTTTAACCGTTGAAAAGTCAACATGTTAGCGTTAAACCTTCAATCACATATTATTATTCAAAAGGCTTCATGCGTCCCGAACTAATCAAGGGTTCCACTTTGTCGCCTATGGTATAAACTCGGTTGTCAACCCTAGTTCCTGAGGTCTTAGTCCGGCGGTCAGTATGTGTAAACAGTTGAAATCCTTACTAATAACTACATGCGCATTTGTTAGAAGTGGAGGGACGGACACATTCATCACTTTAGAATTGATTCGTTCTTAATTCCCGGAATTTTAGCCCTTGGGGTCAAAATCGCATGTCGCAAGATTTGACCAGTGGACATTACTGACCCGTGGACATTACTGACCTGTTGGTTCTAACCCCGGTTGTTACAACACGTATCCCCTCTCTGTAACTACGTTTACATTTATCTAGACCCGTGGATCTCCAAACAATTACTCATTATTGGATTATATCTCAATTTCATCTACAACGAGGAAAAAAGACCCCAGAATATTGGGATACGCGTTCATTTTTGTTTTGTTTTAAAAACACATCAAAGAAGCAAAGAAACTAAAACAAGTAGACGCGTTTCCGAATTCAACGTTGGGCGAGGACCCCAAAATATGACGAACATTCCTGGTTGAAAAAAGATCCAAACATATTGACCACATTCCTTCCTATAATGAATGACATGTGTTTAGTTTAAATATATTTTATTGCCGAAAGCAAATGGATTGACATGTGTCCATATTAACGTTAAAAAAGTAGCCCAGAATATTATGAAGCACATTACTTGTTATGTTAAAAAAATTACTCCGGTTTCATATCCAGCGTTATATTTTCCACGTCATACAAAAATTCCAAAATGTCATCGCGCTCCTTCCTGTGTTTTTTTCTCCTAAAATTGACCCCGGATCCTTATTCTATGTTAAAATGGACCTTAGGATACTATGGCACTAGTTCCTGTTGAATTAACCAAGTTAACAGCGGGCCTATATCCAACATCGCAAAATAACCCCAGAATATCATGATATGATTTCCTTGTTACAAGTATCTGATATTAATCTGATATAATAGTCCTGTACTTTATATATTGCACAACAATTAACATTTTGAAATTATTGATAAATTTACCACACCTCATACTTATAACGATTTGAGTACTTGACTCATGACTACACGTACAATAATCTCGACCA